TTTGAAGTCTTATTCCATAAAATCCCTGACTATACCTACCTAAAAACCTTTGGCTGTGCTTGTTATCCCTACTTGAGACCATACAACAGACACAAAATTGATTTCAAATCAGCCAAGTGTATTTTCCTAGGATACAGCCTAAAACATAAAAGATATAAGTGCGTAAGTCCAACTGGTCAAATTGTTATAGCTAGACATGTTCTATTTGATGAGTCAATTTTTCCTTACAAAGAGTCACCAAAATCTATAGCTTCTACTTCAACTTCTCAACCTTCACTACCACTTATTATTCCTACTATCCCAATTCCTTCTCATCCAACTCACATATTACCTAATTCTCCTATATTGAGTGCCATTAATACTGATTTTTCTGTTAGCACTACTAACTCTACTTGCAGATCCTCCATTCCCACTAACACTGATTGCAGAATCAGCCCCATTACAACAAATAGTTGATGTGCCTATGGAAGATGTAGTTTTCTAAGCTGAAAACTGATAAGAATTGAGTCATAAAAGAGCAATTTATATACATATTTGCTTACTATATTGATTCTTTCCATATGAATGATATTTCTCACCTATTGGTTGTGTTTATATAGGTAGAAGAAGTGAAAACTACAAAATTGTAAAAATCTTGTTGATGTGACTCTACACGGGTGAACCTTGGGCCAAATTCTAAAGAGTTGGCGCAAGCTGGCGCCACTCTGGCGCAAGATGGCGTTGTGCTCCTCAGTACAATTTCCAGAGAGTTGGCGCAAGTTAGCGCCAACCCGCGCCGGTTTGCGAGAAAAGAAAAGACCGTGTGTTTGAAGGGTAATTTTGGAAGAATGAAAATAGGCGTATAAATAGGATGCTCGTGACAGAATTAGGGATCCTATTCTATTGAAGGGAGACGACGGTGGTGCTCAGAGAGAGAGAGTGTGGCAAGAATCTATTTCATCTACTTCTTCCCATTTTTATTTATCAGTTTATGTTGAATATTGAATTTTTAGCCATGATAATGGTTGGCTAGTTCATTTTTATTGTAGTTAGGGTCACGAACCTTATGTGAACCCTTGTTACAACGGATTGGTTTATAATTCTTCGTTTATATAATTATCTTTATCTCTACCTTGTGCGTAATTTATATCTTCTTTATTAGAATTGATCAATCTAATAGTTGATGATAGTTTGAGGGTTAGAACCTTAGATAAGAATATTGGGATTTTGATCTCGAAAGGGGGTAGGATAACAATTTATATGCATGCTAGGAATATATGTATATTTAATTGCAGATGCTTAAATTATTGGGTTCATTGCTTAATGCCATGAGGAACATTGCAAGGAATTAGGGTTCCAATTAGGGTTAAAGGGTTAATTTTGCAAGGAATTGAGGGTTAACTACTGAATAATTTCAGATAATAATTTATCTGAGTAATTATATAAATGAATATTGTAAATCAATCCAGCGTAAGAAGCGGGAATCATTTGGTGAGTGCACTCTAGCTACAATGTCTTCTCATATTTTTACATAACCACTCTCTGTTTATTTCTCAAACAAAAAGCCAAAAATAAGTCTTTACTTTTAGTTCTTATTTTTACTCAAATCAACAACAATTTTCACACACCTATTTGAATTCCTCCCATCTTAAAAGGACAATTATTTGATATTCGATCCCAATCCCTGTGGAGATGATACTTTTCTTATCACTATATTACTTGTGCGATCGGTATAGTTGCGGAGAGCATCAATAGTTCTCCTCCAGTTGCAGCACCACTACTCAACAACCATATTATGACCACTCGAGCCAAAGCTGATGTTTTCAAGCCTAAAGCTTTACAGCCTCTTTGGAACCTACCTTTGTATCTCAAGCCCTATCTCAACCACACTGGCTTCAAGCTACGAAAGATGAATATGAAGTGATGCTCTCCGGCAAGTATACCGATCACACAAGTAATATAGAAAGTAAGTAGAGTATCGTCTCCACGGGGATTATAAACCAAGTACTACAATAACCAGTCACCTTAAGTTGGAAAACTCGGTTTGTTGTTTGGAAAAATTGTGAATTGATTTTGAGTAACAATAAGAAATAAAAGAAAAGACTTGTTTTTGAATTTTTATTTAAGAGAAAATAAACAATAACAATGAGAATTGATTTTAAATATATGAGAAAAATATTGTAGCTAGAGCGCACTCACCTTATGATCCCCACTTCTTACTTTGGATTGATTCACAATACTTATTCATATAATTACTCGGATAAATTATTATCTAAGAATATTTATTAGTTAACCCTCAATTCCTTGCAAGGTTAACCCTTTAATCCCCAATTGGAACCCCAATTCCTTGCAATGTTCCTCATGGTATTAAGCAATGAACGCAATAATTTAAGCATCCGCAATTAAATACACATCTATTCCTAGCATGCATACCAATTGTTATCCTACCCCCTTTCAAGATCAAAACCCCAATATTCCTATATAGGGTTCTAACCCTCAAACTATTCTCAACTATCAGATTGATCAGTTCTAATAAAGAAAATAGAAAATACGCACAGGGTAGAGACAAAGATAATTATATAAATGAGTAAAACTAAATCAATCCATCATAACAAGGGTTGACATAGGGCTCGTGACCCTAACTACAATAAAAGATAACTAGCCAAGCATAATCATGGCTAAAAATTCAATTTTTAATAGAAGTATAAAATTAAAGTTAAATAGATGAAGAAGAAGAACTGTGGAAGAATCCTCTTGAGCTCTGCCGTCATCCTTCTTCTGAATGGAATGAGATATCTCTAGGGTTCTGCTAAGAGGATATATTTATAAGCCTCTTTTATTCTTCCAAATATACCCTTCCAAAAATACGGTACTTTTTTCCCGTAAACCGGCGCCAGTTGGCGTCGGTGTGGCGCACATTTGCGCGGAGTTACTGTCAAATTGTGAAAAACTGGAACCAATTGTACGTGAACTGGCGCAAGTTGGCGCCATCCTTCTTCTTTCTTGGCACCACTTGGCGCCATTCCTCCTTCACTTTGGCGCCACTTAGCATGACTTGGGCGCTGGTTGGCATGGTGGCGCTAGTTTGCGCCATTCTAGCGCCAACTAGCGCCAATTCTCTGGACTTTTGTACTATGCAACATGGCGCTAACTTGCGCCACTGTGGCGCCATTTCCTTGGACTTTGGCCTACGCGATATGGTGCAACTTGGAAGTTTCCTGTGTGTGGAGTCGCGTCAACAGGTTTTTTATAATTTGTAATTTTCACTCCTCTTTTTCCTGTAAAAACACAACCAAAAGGTGAATATTATTGACATAGAAAGAATCAATATAAATAGCAAATATGTATTTAAATTGCTCTCTTATGACCCAATTCTTATCAATTTTAATACTGAAAAACCACACTTGCCAGAGGCACATCAAACCATTCCCAGATTTAAACGTTGATGTCCCCAGCAATGTACAAGACTCAATCCAGGAAATATTTAATTAATCCAACATAACATTCCAGAGATACTCTCAGACACAATATGCTATACATGCCTGACTCAACATCATAAACTCCAATAATGTCATCAGCTTCTTAAAGATGCAAGTCTACATTGATTACCCCTCACACAGATAATAATAATATTCACTCAACACTCAGTGTTTAAGGGTATCATGAGCACTCAATTACTCAAAGCTATAACACTACCATAGGCTTGATCATATTCTCAAAAATTCTTAAAAATGAAGAATCAAACACATGCATCAATTGATCAAAAGGACTTCACAGGTTGTAACTTGGTCGGGGTAACAGGTAGGAAAATATGGATAGTACACTACAAGAGAAGGAGTATTTTGCGGCGGTTCAATTACCATTTTGACGCGGTTAGAACCGTCGCTAAAATAGAAGTACGGCGGTTAACCAACCGTCGCCAAATAAATCGTCGGGAAGGAATCAACGACGGTCAAAATTAACTGCTGGAACGACCGTTGTGAGCAATATAACGACGGTTACGAAGGCGGTTTGACCGCCACATAATGATCACCGAATTTATCATGTCTTACTTTTGGAAGCGGTTCCTAACCGCCTCGGAATAAGTTACATGGTTTTTGAGTCGATTTTGAACCGCCTCTATGTTTTCTTTTGGAGGCGGTTTGTCACTGCCTCTAATTAAGTGATGATGTATTTCAAGTCGGTTTGAAACCGCCTCTATATTTTCTTTTGGAGGTGGCTTGTCACAGCCTCTAATTAAGTGATGAGGTATTTCGAGTCGTTTTGTAACCGCCTCTATATTTTCTTTTGGAGGCAGATTGTCACAACCTCTAATTAAGTGATGAGGTATTTCAAGTCGGTTTAAAACCACCTTTGTATTTTGTTTTCGGAGGCGGTTTATAACCACCTCTAAATAATAATATAAAAATTAATTTTAAATTTTTGTTAATTTTATTAAAAAAAATTATATAACTATTTTTTATGATTTTATTTCATAATTCCGAAAAAAATTAATCAATTTTTGTGTATGAAATATTTCAAAAAACCAATTTTTGAAATTTGAATAATAGTTATTTGTTATTGTTTTATTATTGAGATATTTTGTATTTTATAAATTTATTCAAATATATAATATTATTTCCATACATAATTTATTGAAATATATGTTAAGTTTTTTTACTAACAATGAAACCACGATGACATATTCATAAAAATGTCATTTATCATAATATTTTTTTATTTTTTTCATAAATCATTTTTCATAATGTTCAAAAACATCAAACTTGATGTTTTGAGTACAATCATCTAAACAAAAAGTATAGATTACAAAAGAGTGTAACAAAATATCATCCCAAAGTATTGTATTCTAAACCAAAAGCAAATATCAAAAAAGTGTCCAACAAAATGTATTCTCATAGTGCTATAATCTAAACACAAAATAAAGATCCCAAAATACTGTAACCTAAACAGAAATTAAAGATGACAAAAAAATTCCAATAAAATGTCATTCTAAAGTTTTCAAAATTTATAGAATTTAAATGTCATCCATGAAAAAAGTCATCAAGAGGAGATGCCAATCCTTCTTTTTGACATTGTTGTGTGGATGATATGTTAATATTTGGTGAAGAATTTCTGATACCAATGGAGGATTCCAAACATGAGAGCCTACAAATTACAAATGAAGACAAAATATTATCATTATTGAGCACATATAAGGAAAATTATTATTGAGAAGATTTTCATATTATTGGGATTTAGATCAATCAATCCACACACAAAGACAATATTGTTGCTGGCAGCTACGACATGTGGTTTTTATCACTTCAATATGAAAGCAATTATTTTCCAATAGATGGAACCTACTTGGAAAGCAAAACTTAACTAAAAGATAGAATATAATAAAATAATACATATAATAGATATGTGTTATAGTTTTATTTGAATACGTCTGAAAACAACAACCTAAACATATAATAGCTTAAAGCACTATTTTAAAAATAATGCGACCACAGCTACATGTAACTAGCGCACACACACACACACACACACACACACACACACACACACACACACACACACTCTCACACACACACACACACACACACACACACACACATATATATAATTCTGAATATCATATGACTAGTACTGTTACCTAAACTTAGTCACCTATGTTGTTCGGTGATGCTTAAATGCAAAATGGATATCCCTAATGTTGCTTCTATGTTATTGAACAACTTTATTGCTATTTATAATCTATCATGGAATATCAAGAGGAATATGCCTAATTCTATGAATGTCCTACCTGAAACTCTCCTCATCCATTAAGTCCACTACTGACTCCTCAACAAATGAATCTGCAGAAACCACAAGCCATATGAGTAGCACTTCATAAAAAACAAAAACCAACATGTTAATTCTTTAGTTACACACTATCAATAATAAAATAAATAATGCCAAACTTTAAGACAAAAAACAAAAACAAAAATGGTTGGTAATTCGACAATGGACAAAAGAATAAATAAAAGAAATGTGCTTGCAGTCATGGCAAAGGTTACGAACAAGAAGGCTAGGAAGGAGATAGACTACAACTTTTTACTCTCAACTCTCTTCTCTGCAATCACCATCACACACGTCACATTCACATACATTTATAAATCTCTTGCTTTATGCCATGTCGTGCCAGCAAGTAACATGAAAAGAATCAGTAGAGCAAAAAAACTTTAGCCATGGAAGAGTCATGTAGACACCATGGTCAACGAATCAGTAGAGCAAAAAAATATACAATATTAGGTGAAACAACTTTATTTGCATTGCTTCAATTATTTTACATAGCAATAGACTTCTCTGGGTTTAGAGCTCGGATCACAAGGCAATTTTCATCTCTGTTCTATGAGATATTCATTATTCAATTGTCAGCACCAATAGACCATTAAGCCTCTAATTAGGAACAATAACATAAGATTACTAATCACAGATACAAAGTGTTCAATGGATTTAATGATACAAAAATACTCCAATAACAAATAATTAATAACATTACAAATTACACAAACTTATTAACATTAAAGAAGCAAATTCAACATAAAATAAATCTTCCACTAAAATATTACAAATAATTGGTATCGAAATATAATCTTAATCTCAATTTGCAAAATCATATTAAACATCGAAATATAGTTTAGAACATGCAAAACACTAAGGAACATTTAGAAATTAAAAAAAATGCAAAATACAAGGTATAAAATACATAATGATTCTAAAATAGCAATAATAGAAAAACCAAATTACCTTGATGGCAAGAAGTCCTAGTGCGAAAGCGCTCCCTTTCTCAACGTTGTGCTGAAATTGAATCTGGTTAATCTGAAAAACAAAATAAGAGAAAATAAAGAAGTTAAAATTACATACGCGTGCATCTATTTGCTGAATGTTGTAATTCGTTGCCTAAATTAGATGGACTTAGTGTCAAAATAAGAGAACTATGTGCTGCTCCACTTTCAGTATTAGTCCCTGCAGAAACAATTAAGGATATTGTCTGGTGTAGATTGAGGCCTCATAATGAATCATGGTTTTCGAGGTATCCCTATAAATCCAAATACTCAATGACAATAAGTACAAATACTCAAAACAACTAATCAATTGAAGCACATAATGAATTCATTAAACATTGTTGATAACTTACAAAAAGAGAGCAATATTAGGCATGAATTAACCATAAATAAATTATGAAAAACAAAAATTGCATCAATCAACAATTTATCAAATGTGAGACAAAATTGCATAATCCTATTACATTTGGTTTCAAAATACAAATTATCCAATCTAGCCTGCATTGCTCATGTCATTCAGTACACCACTTTAATCATTGTCACGTTCATTAACGATCAAAGTGGGATTGTCATCATCTACATTAGGTCTTGTTAACTGAATATGCATAGCATCACCAGACAATATTTGTTCCAAGTTTTGGATGGATATGACTCAATGGATGGCATAATGTCTTCTTCATCTTCACCCATGTCGTACGAATCTCTTGGTTTCAAATGAATAGGTATGGTCCAACCTTTTTCTTTCTCATCATCCACAAAATAAACCTTTTGAGCTTCAGATGCTTTGATGTATGGCTCATCATCTTCATGTTCACCTGTATGTATTAGTCTCGTGAAATTAATTGAAGTAAATCCCATATTGTCTTTTTTGATGCCTCTAGGATTAGTGGTATTAGCCCATTGACACTTGAACAAAGTAACTGTGAATAAGCAATTATAATTGATCTCTATAATGTCCATCAGTTTCCCATAGTACAAGACATCTCCAAACCTCATTTGACTATCACTATTACTTGAATAACTTCTAGTTCCAAATGTACCAAATACCCCACTATGTTGTGTTTTCAAGCCCCGATCTCGTGTTAAGGTTCGAAATTTGCACCCATTTACATTATATGCATTGAACCTTCTAGCTTGGCTAATTGGACCTCGACCAAGAAAGAGCATAATATCTTTATCTGATTCACTCAGTAGGTCAACATCTCTAACAATCTACATATGAAAAAAATTATGTTTTTGTTACCACAACATAGACTTTAGTTAATATATGCATTATTCGCGGTCATAGTGAGAAAGGTACTCACCCGTTTTGAGAACCATTCAACAAACTCTCTATGAACCTTCTTATCAATATGAGCAGGATTCCGTGTACGGGGTCTGACCTGCCTCCGCACCTCAGTTCGAAATTCCCTACACAAGATTAAGAATATATTAATCCATAGCTTTGAAGTAATTGCAATGATTGAAGTGTGATAATTACTTACTGGAGATAGGGATCAACTGTCGAACAATTAATTAGGACATGTCTATGTGCTTGCAGCATTTCCATTGGTGTGAGGTTGAAATATAAAGAACCACCAACCGGCTTCCCTACTTGGGGAAACGATTCATGTACTCGTGTTTTTGGCAATTTTTGATTTGGGGCATCATCAACACGATCTGGACGATTAAATCTAGTCTCAATATCATCTAGATACCTTGAACAAAAGGTCAGAATCTCTTTCATTAAGTAACCTTCTGCTATAGACCCTTCTGGTCTTGCTTTGTTCTTTACATAGGACTTTAATTGTCCTAAGTACCGCTCTATTGGATACATCCCCCGATAATGGGCAGGGCCTCCATGCTTAGCTTCATCGACAAGGTGAACAACTAAGTGAACCATTACTGTGAAGAATGAAGGGGGAAATAACATCTCCATATGGCATAAAGTGAGAACAATTTCATTTTGGAGTCTTTCTAAATTTGTGATACTCAACACCTTACTACATATTTGCTTAAAAAATGAGCACAACTCAATTAAATTCCTTGATACTTGTTCAGGCAATGCAGTGCGCATGGCCAATGGTAGCAGTTGATGCATTAATATATGACAATCATGACTTTTTAGCATCCCATTCAATCGAAGAGGCTCCACATCAATGCAACGAGAAATGTTGCTTGCATAACCATCTGGCACGGTAATATTCTTTAATGTATTTAAAAATGCCTTCTTTCCTTCATTGGTCATTGTGTAGATTGTTGGAGGATATCTGTCGTTTGCATCTGGCCAAAGGTCAGGCTTACAATCCCATTCTTTAAGGTCCTTTCGAGCATTTATGTGATCTTTGGACTTTGCACTATCATTTAGCAAGGTATATATAATGTTGTCACACACATTCTTTTCAATATGCATGACGTCAAGATTATGACACAACAAGTTGTGCTCCCAATATGGAAGCTAAAAAAAAGTGCTTTTTTTTCTCCATTGTTGAGTGCCAACCTGTGTAACACGTCCACTACCACGTCTTCTTTTCCCCTTTCCTCCAAGTTTCTGTTTTCGACCGAAGGTCACATGAACATTTTTAACTTGTTGAAGAATATCAGTACCAGATAATACTTTTGGTGACTCACGGAGCTCTTGCTTCCCATTAAAGTGAGGCCTATGAGGAAGTCGACAAGGTATTGAGTCAAAGTTGCATGTTGGACAAGCTAATCCAGTGTAAGTGTTCCACCCAGACAAAGTTCGAAGGCCAGGAAAGTCACTGATAGTCCACATTAATGCCGCATGCAGTTTGAACATTTCTCGAGTAAATGAATCATATGCATCCACACCATTATGCCACAATTCCTTCAACTCTTTCATTAAAGGTTGCAGATAAACATCAATGTCATTTCCGGGCATTCGCTTCCCAGGTATGATTGTTGACATAATAAAAGAAGTTGACATCATGCACACCCAAGGAGGGGTGTTGTATGGAACCAATACAATTGGCCAGGTGCTATAATTAGAACTCATGTTGCCAAATGGATTAAAACCATCAGTAGCTAATCTGAGACGTACATTACGTGGGTCTGATGCAAATTCAGTGTTGATTAAATCAAACCTCTTCCATGCTTCAGAATCCCTAGGATGCCTCATAATGCCATAATTGTTATCGTCCATGGCGTGCCATCTCATATCTTCAACAGTCTTGGATGATAAAAACAACCTCTGCAATCGTGGCTTCAATGGAAAGTAACGAATAACTTTTGCAGGCACATTATTCTTACTCTTCCTACCATCAGATTGTAAATCTTGACCACCCGTAGCTCTTGGTTTCCATCTAGACATCTTACAAACTTTGCAAATTTGCATATTTTCATCATCCACACCCCAATAAAGCATATAATTATTTGGACAAGCATGTATCTTTTCATAGTCTAAACCCAACTTTGAAATAGTTTTCTTTGCCTCGTAGAATAAAGTTGGCAAATTGGCATTTTCAAATGCATCCTGTAGTAGCTCCAATATCACTGTAACAGCCTTGTCAGTCATCCCACAATAGCATTTGATGTGATATAACTTCAACATAAAAGAAAGCTTTACATCCTTCATACAGAGGTTGTTCTCTATCTTTTGCTAGTTCAAAGAAATCTTTATCTTCATTTGATGTGGTTCCACCATCTTGTGCAATGTCTTCATTTGTGTCAAAGTTATGCTCATTCTCATGCAAGATATCAACTCTGAATTGGGGAAGAGTGACCATTTTGCCACATTTGGCAAAAACATTTACCAGACTGTCACGCCAACAGTAAATTTTGTCAAAATGCCACGCCAACCGTCGATGAAGAAGTCTGAAAATATAACTAATTCACATTATCTTATCTTAACTCTTAATTCTTTCCAGACTTCTTCAACGACGGCTAAGGGTGCAGCGTGGCATTTGGACAAAATTTACTGTTAGCATGGCAGTCTGGTAATTTTTTTTGCCAAATGTGGCAAAATGGTCACTCTTCCCCGAATTGGAAACATTGTCCTCCTCCTGTGCGACAGGGTCAATGGGAACAGGGCGCAGGAGACGGTCAACAAAGAACACTAAATGATCGTTCATTAGAATAATCAAATCAAATCAAAACTCTAACAAAACAAAAATCGAAATTACAAAACAGAAAAGAACATAAACTTAATTGTATAGGAAAAACCGCGCGATGAGTGAGTGGATCCAGAAGTTTCTCAAGAAAACAAGATAAAATCTTACAGAGAGAATCAAAATTACAGAAAGAGAAAAGAAAACAGCAGGAATTGGAAAAATAGTGCTAGTTTTCTTTTTATTCTTTATATTTTTATTATTTTTATTATTTTTTGGTGAAGATGAAGTTATCCCTTCTTTATTAAATATTGGAGTTTTTGATAATTAAAATTTCTATTAAATAATATTATTACATTTCCTACCATCTTATTTTTATCCTCTTCGATCTTGAGCGTGCCTCCCCGGACCACGCCTGCTTATTGGAAAGTAAGACTCCCGTCGGCTTTCTCTGTACCTTACCAAGAAGAGTCATCATTTGAATGCTAGGTATGAGTCATACCCAACGCGCGCACACACACTTATGCCTACACATGCACGCACATGTGCACACCCACATGCGTTTTTTAAAAAAAAATTAAATGTATTAAAAATAAAATAATATAAATAACAAAAGAAAAAAAATTTATGTCTTAACATAAAAAATAATAATCAATTTGCGATAAATTTATGTCCCCATACCGAACCAATGAATTCTGATGTAGCACAATATGATATTAAATAATGAACAACAACTTGACGAAAAAAGACAACAATAATTACTGTAGTTAGAGAAAGAAAAAAGACAAAGGATGTCTTTACAAAGTATCCTTTTGTAGTATGGTTGAATGAGTGTTGATGCACATTCTTCGCTGGAGTGGCGTCTATAACCTTTAAATCTCACAACTCTAGCAGTTGCTGCTACAAAGGAAATGGCATGATTTTTATCTTTAGTCACAGGTGTTGATGTGGTACTCCCCTCATTGGTGACATCTTGAGGAAAATCCTCAACAGACACCACCTCTGCCACTTCATGTTGTCATTTCTTCTCCTTGTCTTTCTGAAAGTGAAAACCCCATCCACTGTTCAGAAAAATTATTTGTGCCTACAGTTGCCTCTCTGGATTTTGTCCTAGCAATTAAGTATTCATCATTCTAATTGTCTCGGCCCATATATTAATTAATAGGGAAAGTATTATAGAAATTATGTAACCAATATTCAATTTCAGTGCTTTATGTCCAAATTATAGCAATGCGATTTTGGCGAAAGAGATACTCAACAAAATTGATATAGCAATTAGAAATTTTTGAGCTATGATTGGGGAAATGACCAAGTAGGTAGAGATGAATTAATATATTGGATCGGTTTGGATCAACTCATCTGAAAATTGATCTAATCCAATTAAAATTTGCGATTTTTTGATTTTCGGTTTATTAGATTATCGATTTTTCGGTTTGGTCACCGCGGTTTGAATCGGTTGATGCACACCCCTAATTAGCATGTCTTGTACAAATGCAATGACATGAACAAACTCTCAAAATTGATATCCATGATTAATATTTACCACTCCTTATATTATATATATCATTGACATTCTAGATTTTGCTCGGGGCAATTAAGTTTTCAGCATTCAAATTGCCCCGACCATATATTAATTACGGCAATTACTATAGAAATTATACAACCGATATTTAATTTCAGTGCTTTATGTCCAAATTATATCAAGGAGATTTTTTTTTTGGGGGGGGGGGAGAGATACTCAACAAAATTAGGGTTCGGTGTTTCTCATATTGTCACAGATAAAATTATCTACTACGCATATAAAAGTATATGGGGTTGATCATGTGAAAAGAAAAAAGAAAATGAAAAGATGGGCCCAACACAGTTTTGTATGTGTATAGGAGATAAATTCAACATGAGAGACATTAAAGCCACAAGATTATGGTTGAACCAATGTTATGAATACTAGACCCATCATTGACTTAGTTGAAAAGGTTGATTTAAATTTATAAAAAAGTATGTAATAAATATATTAATAATAGTAATAAAATATAGAAATAAATTCAATGGCATAGTGGTTGTTGTCATTGAATTCCTCCAATGTATACTGTGTTCAAATATTTCTAAGTGTCGTTGTTCATAATAAACATCTACCATTATGGAATTTATATTTTGCGACGGTTAATAACCGCCTTTAATTTCCAATTTTGCGTCGGTTACAATCGTTATTCTGAGTCGGTTCTAACCATCTTTGAATAGTGGTATTCTGCGTCATTTTATAACCGCCTCTGAAATCTTATTCGGAGTCGGTTCTAACCGTCGTTGAATAGTGGTATTCTGCGTCATTTTATAACCGCCTCTGAAAACTTATTCTGAGTCGGTTCTAACCGTCGTTGAATAGTGGTATTCTGCGTCGTTTTATAACCTCCTTTGAAATACGTCGTGGAATTGTGATATTCAATACGATTCAGTAAGACGTCGTAGTAACCGTCGTTGTTATTTATTCAACGACGGTTGCACCCTGACTGACGCGAATTATCTGTCGCGAAACACACATTTTCTTGTAGTGGTAGCTCAAACAACAATGAGATTGAAAAACTAAATTTATTTCACTTTAACACATTCAACTCAATGATTTTGCTCCACTAACATTCCCACAGAATTTCGAGAATTAATTCCTTCCAGCCACCTTTTACTCTTTTCCTTTTTCTTGCTTTCTTTCCTTTTTCTTTTATAAGGGCATAAATGAATTTTTCATCCCTTAATTACTTGACCTTTGTGGAGCTTACCTCAATTTCTTTATTTTATTTTTAACACATTCAGTGATTCAATCTCAATCAAGGCAAGTCACACGGACATAGGCTAAGCCATAAATCAGGCACAGGTCATTTATCAACAAATAAGTTCAGGCTCAAAGGGGCTAGCAAGGGAAAATTTCATACAGGTGGGCTATTTTGGCCATAAGCTAATAAGAACAAAATGCCTTTATCATATCAATCAATGCATGCATAATAGAGAAACAGATCAAGTTCTAGAGTATTACAACAGTGAGGCCTCTCAACAAAAATTTCAGTGTTTAGGCTCAAACCTCACAGTTATGGTATCAATGCAGACTCAAGAAAATTGACCTCAGACATTATCAGAATTTCACAATATTAATTCAGAGAAACGAGCAATCATGCAATCCATTTATGCCTATGCAATGTCATGCCAGAAAGTCATACAATATATTCCAAGAATTCAGTCAAGCACATTAACTATATAAGCACATTTAAACCTGAGAATTGCTTGAAACAAATTTTTTTTTTTTGAAGATATAGCACAAAAAATAACTATAAAAATAACTAAGAAAATTAAAAGAGTTAGCATATCTCCCCTGATAGAAGAATTGCAGTTCTAAGGTGCAAGCCTACCATTCCCAGATTTAGAGAATTGCTGTCCTCAGCAATAATTAGACCACAAGAAGGAAGAAAAACCTGCACAATAGAACAAACAGTGGCATATAGAAGAAACTATAATGCGCACATTAAAACATCGGAGAAAAATATACTAACACAAAGTAACTAAAAAAAAGTACGAAACAGAAAAATAAACTAATATACAAGATCTCCATCAGCAAGGAGATATACTCAACCCTCCATGTCATCCCCCTCAGCAGCGTGGGATGACTCAGCAAATGGAGGATCCGGTGGTAGTAGATGCCTTGGTGTATGAGACCACCATTCCCAGATTTGTTCCAAACCAAGGAGCCATGTTAAGAACTCTTTGAAGCATTGATTTTTTCGAGAGATAGAGTCTCGGTGTCTCTTGTCAAACTTCAGCTTCCGGTGTCTCTTTCAACTCGTATCAAAGAGTTTGATCACCTCCTTTCTCAGTACCTTCTTCATTATAGGATGACTCCTCCCTTGGGGTTTTCTCTCATGTTTGTCATCATCTTCATTGAGAATTTTGTGGGTACGGGAAGAGGGATCTTTGTCTTTCAAATCTGCAGTAGACCACCCTATGGCAGTCTCATGTTCCTTCAGTACTTCAATCACTGCCTCCTTATTACCCAAGAAGGTATGTTGAAGAGTTTCAGGAAGCTCCTTCAACTCTATTTTTGGGGCACCATCTTCTTTCCCCACTTGCTCTAAAACATCAAGTTTAAAACAATCGCCTTTGTCAGAAGATTGTTTCATAGAGTCATAGACGTTGATGGTAATTGTCTCATCATTCATCCTTAACTCAAGCTTTCCATTTTCAACATCAATCATGGCCCGAGCAGTGGCCAAGAAAGGTCTACCCAGCAAAAGAGGCATCTCAGCTCCCCCTTCCATGTCTAACACTACAAAATCAGCAGGAAAGATGAACTTGTCCACCTTCACAAGAACATCTTCAATAATACCACTAGGCTTCCTCAAAGACTTATCAGCAAGTTGAAGAGATGCCAAAGTGGGCTTCAACTCGGTGATCCCCAAAGATTTACAAACAGAAAGGGGCATCAAATTAATGCTAGCCCCAAGATTGCATAACGCTCTGCCAATTTTTGTGTCCCTAATTTCAATAGGAATTTTGAAACTCCCTGAATCACTGAGTTTGGGTGGGAACTTCTTCTGTATGATGGCACTACACTCCTCAGTGAGTGTTATAGTTTGGCATTCCTGCAGCTTATGCTTTCTTGATAACAAGTCCTTCATGAACTTGGCATAATTAGGCATGCA